GGGGGGTCTGCGGCTCTGCAGAACATGTTAGAGTGACGCACTTGTTGCATAAATTGACACTTCACATCAAGAAGCCCACCACATATTATCCGACATTTTGAAGTGGATGGCTGGAGGACACCATAGGTAGGTCCTAGATCTACTTCTTTGATATCCTTCTTGTGTTTCTCTCAGTCTGCCTTTTTCGTTCCCAGCACTAACGGACCGCCATTGTACCAGTGCGTTTCAGTTTACAAAGACACTTGGGAAAAACAGGGACGTTTTGTTGATTTGCGAACAAGTGGTTTCTGTTTTCCTCGGCCCACTAATAACTGGAAAAGTGTTAAATGTCAGAAGTTTAACGATGTCCATATGCCATAGAGATCTTTATAAAGGTTTTCTTCTTGATTTCTATTATACACTCAGCATTAACACCGTATGCGATGCATCACGTTGAAATCAGGCGCTCTTCAAAATAATGAAATCAAAGAAACGGACATTGTTCTGCCCATTGGGCAATTTTTATCGACTCTTTAATTTTGCAGATATCACCTTTTATGTCCATCAAGAAAAACATTAATCTGAAAGACAACGATCAAAGGTACAAAAGAGGTAAATTAGCAGTTTCCAAGGCCTCTCTAGCTTTGGAAGTCGCCAAACTTGGGGGGCCCTTTTTCTCGCTAATTTTACCTCTGATACCAGGTGACCCCTCCTCCTTCAATCGCAAATATCTCGGCATCTTCATCTATTGAAGATTGATGAATTATTTTTTCTCTTCAAAATCAAGACAAAAGAATAAGCTTTTGGATGATATAAATAATTCCATAATCTGTACTTGAAAACTACCGAGCGCCTGATTCCACCGGATCGGGACACATCGCTACCCTAGAATTACGTAATACGTTCTATCTGCTCAGTATCAGTGCCTAGTTTTGAGAAATATGTCTTTACAAATTTTGAGTTTCACAACATGTCAAGTTTTTTTCGAATGCAATTCTCTGAATGTCCCGATAACGACTCCAAATAGATCTAGTCGTACGATTTTTATCGAACAGATGGAACATTTGGTTTCTGACCTCATGGCCTTAGTAACTCATAACAACCAAAAAAGTCGGATAGAGCGTAGAAATAATTTATTTTAATGTAGTGACATAATGTAGGGGGCCGGCTACTTCGACTTTGCCAGCCAGGACCAGCCCAGGCTAGGTGCATGGGGATACAACATCCCAGCAGATACGTGTGTACGTGGAAGGGTTTAAAACCCCTATCAACATTATTAGATTATACATTTTAAGCGGTGGAACCTTCGAATTTAACGCCCATCTCTGGTAGGACCTTGCCAAATGGGCTGAGAGATTTGAAAACTCCACAAAACGACCCGAGTTCAAGAACACCCAGTCCAGGATTCGAACTAAGGCCATCAGTTCCGTAGTCCAGCAGGATACTAACTGAGCTAACGGAACACTCCCTCCCCCAAGCTCCAGCAGATAGACGAGGACACTCAATACAAAAAAAATTACCCGATATAAAAGCTTCTCCGTGTTTGGAATTGAACTCGGGTCTTCCGCATGCAATGGCAAAGAACCTATATTAACCATTACACAACAATAAATTGTCTCCGGAAATGGGGAAGAAAACTGTTGTACTGAGAACGAAAATTTGTCTATTTTGGTTGCTATGTCCTGTTTCCATCTTAATAATAATAATAATAATCTTACTACTACTACTACTAATAATAATAATAATCTTACTACTACTACTACTACTACTACTACTACTACTACTACTACTACTACTACTAAAAGTGTGTCGTGACGCAGTGGAATCAGGCGCTTGTCAGTTTTTGGGCATATGGAGTTATTGTTAGCATCTTGAAACTTGTTCCTTTGTCTTGAATTTTGCGGGGTAAAAACCCATCTTCTGGAATTGTAGATATTTGCTATTGAAGGGGGTGGGGGTCGCCTGGTGTGAGCAGTGAGAGGTAAAATTAGCCAGACAACGGCCGTCAACGTTTGGTGATTTCCAAAGCTTGAGTCTTCCAGGAAACTGAAAAATTTCACTTTTACATTTGTTGTTGTTCTTTTAATCAACGTTTCTCTGTAGCGTCCACACTGAAATGTGTTTAAAAAAGGATAATAATGAAAGCTGAGCCAAAAAAAACACAAAAAAATAATATATTATTGATCGTATTGATGAGATAATATTGATGACCTTTAGGAGTATGCATTATTAGAAATCAAAAGAGAGTGTCAATTAGTATTAACCAGGGAATACTGCAATAGCAGGAGAGAGAGAGAGAGAGAGAGAGAGAGAGAGAGAGAGAG